AAAATAATAAAAAATAAATAAAATAATAAAATAAAAGTAAATAAAATAATATGCGACATATGTTTTTTTAATCTCATTTATGTTGTTACAATATTATCAATCTTCAAAACAGTTAACATTTTGTCTACGATTAAGAGGATGCCGGACCGTCCTGTTTTACCGACCATAATAATTATATATTTGCTTAATATAAAAGTTTTGGCAGTTTGTATAAAATAAAATAGGTTTCCACTCGGAAATGCATGAAAGAATATAAGTGAACGTTTCTTAATATGAAATATTATTTGTGAATGCATCCATCATCTTTAACCACTATCTTCCTTATCTCCTAATAGAGTCATTAGAGACTGCGATAACTGGACTCTATTTTTCAATCGCCAGATGTCATTGGCATCTTCGTCCGTGGTTTGTGAATTATGTGTGAGTATACTGTGTGAGTATTATCGCGACTGCAATATTTGCTCCCTTGGCTCTTTTACCTGAAGTGTTCTGAAATCATCGAGAATCATTGAAATCCATTAAGAATATGATAAATCGTGTTCGGCCTCGTCTTGTGACCTTTGATGTGACCGGCACATTGTTAATGACGAAACTTGAAGAGCATTACGTCGAGATCGGCTCTCAACATGGTTTATTCATCGAGCCAAAAAAATTGGCGCGAAGTTTTGAAAGCAATTTCTCGCAACTTAGCAAGGAGCATCCGATATATGGCAAACACACTGGTTTAGGATGGGAGAATTGGTGGAGAACAATTGTGCATAATGTATTCAGAGATCAGCTTGCTTCCGTGTCAAAGGATAAATTGAACAAGGTATTATAGATGATTATATTATAAAATATAATATTTATATAAATTTATATATATATAAATATAAAAATAAAATTTCTCTTGTGTTTAAATATTTAATCTCAAAATTTTTATTTTCTTTATTTTATCATTGACTCTATTAATTTTATTTTCCAGGTTGCTGACAGCCTGATAAGTTGCTACGGTACCAGCAGATGCTGGCACAAGTATCCTGGTACTATTGAACTACTCGACTTCCTGCGAAGAAGGAATGTCATAGTGGGTGTCATCTCGAATTTCGATGAACAATTAGAATCAGTCCTCAAGGAGACTCAAATTCACCAATATTTTACCTTTGTTTTGACTTCGTACAATCTTGGTGTGGAAAAGCCGAGTTTGCCGATATTCGAGGAAGCGTTAAGATTAGTAAAACATCTTCGAGAAGAGGAAATATTGCCTCAGGAAGCGACGCATATCGGTGATAGACTGGACAATGATTATTTTGGAGCGAAAAACGCCGGTTGGAATGCTTTGTTGATTAAACATGAGAATGAAATTGTTGAGAGCAAAATACCTAAGGAAGATGTTTTTGGAAGTTTGAAGGAGCTTCAAGAACACTTTAGGAGGATATTTGGAACAAATTACATAGCGCGATGATATTATATCTATTATTTAATATATATCTTTATCTAATATTAGATTTATATAATAGAACAGTTTTATATTAACGAAATAGAATTATTTCAATTATATTTATATTTGATAGTAATTTGCAAAACAAAAAACAATTTAATCAGGAGAAATGAATACAAATTTGATTGAATCTTTTTTTATTTTAATCTTTTTGTATTTTAATCTCTGTATATATTTAGTGTATCAGAGATTTATAGATATTTAAACATGAATATTCGGTAAATGTAATATATGATAAACTGTATACTTGTTAAAATAATCAAGAAGAATCTCTAATCTGGTTTAAATAATAATCATCAATTATGTAGATGTAAGGAAACAATAACAATTCTATTATACAAGACACACATATTGTGAAATTTTTTGTACATATTATAGCATTATATATTATTCATAAAAAAATCTCTAGCAACTATATATAAGCCTCAGATTATTAAAAAAAAAGATCTTTCTTCGTAAGATAGGAATTGAATAATATGACAAAATACAATAAGATTGTATAAACATGTGGGTGGTATCGCGGTATCGCTCATGTTCTTTCCGGGTACAGCGATATATATATCCGATTCTACTCTGCATCGGAACGTCTTTATAATATAAAATAATCATCACATAACTTACTATACAAAGTATAATCCCTATAATTTTAATCTTTTTTTTTTTTATATAAAGAAAACAAGCTTTGAAAAAGAACATTTGTGATGGCAAATTTATTAAAACTATTTTTTTTATTTTCTTTATATTTATGTTGAAAATTAAAAATTGCTTATAACAATTACTCTCTTATCAGAAATGTCAGCTGTTTATTGTCAATAACAAAAGCAGGAATTAATATTTTAGATCATTTTACTTGCGAATAAGTGAAAAAATTTTAAAGTATTCCGAGAATAAGAGTCAAAGAAGAAACATCCATAATTATAAATATCCCTTAAAAAAATATGCACCAACTCGTAATAAAAGATGTGTGCGATGCCATACATTACCTTCTTTCAGAATGAGAGGTACACTCTCTATGTGTACGTATATACATACACAATCCGCGGCTAGCGTAGGCGGGATACGCCGATAGACTCGCGTGCGAGCGCGAGCGGCGCGCCGTTAGCCGTTACTCGTCGATGGTCCACGGCGAAGTGAGCTCACGCGTCGTCCAGCATCCCGATCCCCTGGAGAGTTATTGGGAGATGCACGATCGATAACGCGATCGTTCGACGATCGTGGTGAATCTCGTCGATGGACGCGCTGGCTAACCTCAAAAAAAATTTTTGATTCCTATTGGATTTTATGAACGGTGAGAAAGTTTAGTGAGTGTTCGGACAGAAAGAGAGAGAGAGAGAGAGATATCTCTTTTCGAGGCTAAGATGAGAGCGTGCGCGATATGGGCTCCTCTGTTACTTGTGGGAAGCTGCGTCGTCCTTGCCGATCCCGAAGCCGATCCTTCCGAGGAGCTGTTCAATCGGCTGCAGCAACCTAAGATTCGCAATGAGGACAAGTGTTACGATGAGAACGGCAGACCGCAGGTTTGTCTCTATATTTTATTTATATTATTTAAAAATTGAAAAAGAAGTATTTTGTGCGAAATACAAATTTTTGTAGAAATAATCTTATATGAGAAAGAAAAATATGTGTATGTGTGTGTATTGCTGCAAAGTTTTTCATTCAGTATATTAATACAAGAGAAAATGCATTATCTAATATCTAATAGAAAAAAAAAACTTAGGGCTATATAATATATATTTTTATTTTTTGTGTTATATAAAATAATTTCTAAAAAAAATATAGAAAAATATGTACAAATACTTCTTTTACAATCTTATATATATCAGATATATTTTTTCGTGTGTGTGTATGCGCGCACGCAATTATTTTTTATTATTTAATAAAACATTTTATATTATACATAAACGTGTACAAAATTACTATAAAATTAGAATGTAATAGAAATTATAAAATAACTATAAAAAAAATCGTAAAATAACATCGTAAAACTAAATTAATTTTAAATGTTATACATGATATATTTGGCGTATTTTAGAGATGCATACCGCCGTTCGAAAACGCGGCTTTTAACGTCCTGATGGAGGCAACCAACACATGTGGCGAGGACCATCCTATCGAATTCTGCAAACAGACGGGTGTACAGAAGAAGTCATGTGAAATTTGTCGGCGTGGCGATCACTCAGCTTCCTTCCTTACTGATCACGACAATAATGACAATGCCACTTGGTGGCAATCGGACACCATGTACGAAGGCATCGAATATCCTAATCAGGTCAATCTCACCCTTCATCTAGGTACGTTCTCGTAAAATTTGAGACGCTTTATAGAAGATTTCTACATTATTGAGAAACGTTTATTTATATTTGTGCTATCTTTTTCTCTCTTTCTTTTTCTCCTTTCCCCTCTGTTTTCATTCATACACGTGTGCATATATACTCTCTTTCTCTCTCTTTCATCCTATTTCGTTATCTACGAGGATGTATGCGCGATGAGATAAATCATTCAGTGTATAGCGGATGATGGAGAAATCACAGACGACCTCTCGAAAACTTTAGAAGCAAGTTTATTCTTCCTCTCACAACCAGTTGATTTAGATTTTTATTTAGGAGTTAGAAAAAATATTCTAACTTAGAAAAGTTAAGACGTCTTTTTTAATTAATTTGTATAATTTTTCGATCAATTTTATGATTTTTTCAAATAAATTATTTATAACTCTTTAATTAAATAAAATTATATTATACTCAATTATTCTCAATTTTTGAAATATTTTTATTTGGGCTAGTATATACATATATTATTTCAATTTAAGAAAATATATTAGGAATTTTATTTGGGCCGATTGTATGCCAATTGGTTAGTTCCAATTGTTTTCTTAAGAGGCACTAAAAAAGAGAGAAGAATATATATGATGATCGAAATGTTTCAATCTGTACGCCATATGTTCATTCATCAAAGCGTTCGTCTCGTTTTGTCTTCTTTTTTACATCTTATACGATTACATTATCGTATTTCAATAGTCTTAGAAGACATTTCTTGCAAAAATTTGTATGATATTAACTTAATAATAATTTTTAAAAATAATTATACATATATATTATTAATCCATTGATGCATTTATAAAAATAATATCAATCACGCGCGCGTGGTTTATATTATTATTCTGTGTATAAAATACATTATGATGATAATAAATATAATTTGTATGTTTTATTGTGTTCAGGCAAGACATTCGATATAACATATGTTAGAGTGCTATTCGAGTCACCACGGCCGGAAAGTTGGGGCATCTACAAGCGGAAAAACGAGAAGTCACCGTGGGAGCCTTATCAATTTTATTCAGCAACGTGTCGAGATACATATGAGTTACCCGAGTCTAAAGAAACCATTCGTGGTGATGACACGCGCGTGCTATGCACTTCGGAATTCTCTGACATCTCCCCACTCACTAAAGGCATCGTCGCTTTTTCGACTTTGGAAGGCCGACCATCTGCTTATTACTTTGAAACCAACCCCGAACTTCAGGTAATTAATAATTAAAAAATAAATATAT